TTGAACAACATCTCGAAGAACATATGTCCATGGATTTCCAAATCGTGATGTTATATCTTGTTCTTTTGTAATCCAAACTTTTTGACCTAAACCAACGGAAACTTCATTATAAGCACCAATCGATCCAATAAGACCAAGATAACCAAAATTAGCAAATGTATAAGAACCCGAATATTTTTGTTTATAATAATCATGAAAATGATTTTCATAACCTTCATATGATGTATTTGGATGATAAACAGTTACTGTAGCATATTTAGCAATGGGTGCCTTTTCATCCCAATCTAATGAACGAAGATGAAGTAATGTTGTTTTCGACAACGTCGATTGACCCCATGCTCCTATAACAGAACAAGCAGCTTTGATTAGTTCTGGAAGTAGATTGAGTCGACGAATATTTTCATAAGATATACCACTACCAGCAGCAAGACCTCGAAGTTCTTCATCATACCATGGTGGAGTATAAAAACGTGTAATTTCATAATTAAGATCAAGAGCACCTAATAAACCTAATTCAGCAATCCATTTTGCAACTAACTATTCAAATAAGATACGTTTATATTTCTATATAAGAAAAAAGATAATTATATTTACTGGTGGTAATGTCTTAATCAAATCTTCAATTTTGTTATCCAAATAAGCAAAATATTCAGGAACAAGATGTTGTAAATCTTCACTCATTAATTTACCAAGTGCAAGACCCATGTCATATGGTGTACCACCATAAAGATGTACAATATTAATTTTATCATAACCTGATCCAACAACAAAACGTTTACCATTTGGTACCGAATTTACAAAAGTTGGTTCATCGTGTAATATTGGATTTGTATTTATGATACCTTTACAGCTAGGATCAACTGATTGAACCTGAGAAATAATTGCAAGAATACAGAATAATATAAAATAATTATTATTCATGATTATGACTGTTAGTATGATTAGTAAAATTGAAATAAATATATAGCAGCTGGTTTATTCTCTCAGATATAAATATATATATATGTATATATTAAATATATAGGCTAAATTTTATTTTAAAAATGCAAATAAATGCCCAAATACGAGAGAAAAAAAATACGAATATTCATGAACCTAATTCACATCAATCTTTCATATATTTTGCGAATAAGAAACCTATTTTCACACACATATCAATACAACCGGGCTAATTATAGCCATCGATAATGAAACGAAGAGAGAAAAAAAAGAAAAGTAACGTTGTGCAATTGGAAGCAGCAACAATGAGAACAATAAAGCCTATATACATTTGCACAAACCAAACAAAGGAAAAGAAAAGTGCGTGCTATAGTACATTCTATCTATCTCAAAAAAAAA